CTTTATCCTATCCTTTTTGTTATCATAGTCTTCATAATTAATATTAGTAGGTCATAAGTGAAATAAGCCAGTCAGAGAAAGACAAATACCATATGATTGCACTCATATGGGGACTCTAATGAACACAATAAACTAACAAACAATATAGAAACATATTCATAGATAGAAAACAGACTGATAGCTGTCAGAGGGGAGGGGTGTTGTGGGACTGGATGAAAAAGGTGAAGGGATTAAGCCAAAAAACCCCCCTAAATGCCACACACACACACACACACACACACACACACACACACAAGACCTCATAGACACAGAGGACAATATGGTGATTACCAGAGGGAAAGGGGGTTGGGTATGGGGGGGGCGGGATAAATGGTGATGTAAGGAGACTTGACTTGGGGTGGTGAACACATAATACGATATACAGATGATGGGTTATAGAACTGTACATCTGAAATCTATATAGTTTTAATAACCAATGTCACCCCAATAAATTAAAAAACATTAGTAGGTCATTTTCAATAGATCAGTGAATAGGGACAAGAGGAAAGCATTTGCCCCAAACCATTTCTCAGGTCACAGGGCAGAATTGGTCTTGGAATTTATAACCTCCAAATTCTTGGTTTCTGTGGTTACCAGATGGCCATAACTACCGAAGAAGACATTTCAGACTACCTAGTACCAGTTAATGTGGATCTTTCTACTGTACTGCCTGATGGAAGATGAGACAATGGGTAGGGTCGCCCCACTCCCTCACTCATTTGGAATTCTTTTTTTTTTTTTATAAATATATTTTATTCATTCTTCACAGAGAGGAAGGGAGAGAGACAGAGAGCTAGCTAGAAACATCGATGAGAGAGAAACATCGATCAGCTGCCTCCTGCACATCTCCCACTGGGGATGTGCCCGCAACCCAGGCACATGCCCCCGACCGGAATCGAACCCGGGACCCTTCAGTCTGCAGGCCGACGCTCCATCCACTGAGCCAAACCGGCTTCGGCTCATTTGGAATTCCTACATGCACACAGGCACACACTCTCAGCGGCCTTGCTCAGTATCTGCAGGCAGTCAAGAAGGTAAGAGTCCATGGGAAACCCATCTGAGAGCTATGTACTTAACTAACCAATAGGTAGGTTGACTTTTCAACCACCAATGAAGACCATCAGTGTGTAGGAATCACAATATTCATTACGTCACAGTGCTTATTTTTTCCTAAGGCCTAAATTCTCTGTGTCCGTTCGATTCTGTTTCTGAGATAAAGAACCACTATCATTTGTTTCGGTGTTTTCAAGAGTCATACTATACAATCAATTTTACTGATAATTTCTGAAAATGCTTAAGTAGACCTGCAAATGTGGGTTAGTGTGAGACTCCCTATCTGCATCAGATCTGTATAAAATGAAACGTCCTTTACTTGAATTCAAACCTGTACCTTTGAGGCCAACACTTTGGGAATTCAAGGGCAAAATGAATTTTAACTTGCTCCATCTTGCACGTTGATGAATAATGAAAAAAAAAAAAAGGCCTCAAAGCTTGATTAGTTCTTGCCACATTTGCCTGTCATTATTTCTCAGACCACAGTACATAAAATCACTGGCACAAAGGATCCTTCCCTCAAAAAACAGATTCCTGGGGAAAGCAAAGAAAACGAGCAGGGAGGGGACAATGTGTTTGACTTCTTAAAAGTCTATTTACGTCCAATTTATTTTGGTCCTTAGGCCTTTGGACATGTTAGCAAATAATTATTTTAATGGCTGATAGAGTATGAAATAGGTATCTTTTTTTTCTTCTTCCTTTCAAACGTCATTTTGGTTTCTAAAAATTGTTTCTTCTCGCTAGACACAAGCCAGATGCCGGGAGCTGACCGGATGCCAAGTCTCAGGACTGTCCAGTCTCCCATATCAGATGTTCAGCGGAGCCTTCTGAATCTTCTCGAGGTTGGAAAATCTATCCCCCAGACTCACAGATGCTGTTCTCCCCCCACTGGCTCGGCACAGAACATCATTATCTTTGCCGAGCTTCTGTCTCTATGGCAATAACAGATGGGAAGTGCTGCGGAATTATTCATGTTCAGGAAAGGAGGCAGTGGAGAAGGCGGGGAAGGCGGCGGGTGGAGAGGGGGCGCGACCTGGGAGCACCTCGACGGGGGCGCAAGGACGGGAACTTGGGAGGGTGTGTGGGTGGGAGGGTGTGTGGGTGAACGAGAGGCTTGCGAGCCTTTGGGAAGAACAGGGGGCAGGTGGAATCTACAGCTGCCTCCAAATGCGGACCCCAGACGAGCCACGTAGAAGCAGGAACACCAGGAGAAATTGTTCAAAAACGGGCAGGAAGGAACCAGGGTTCAAGCGCGAGTCCTCCGAGCTGCGCCCGGCGGACTATTTCTGTCCGCGATCTCGCGGCGGGTGGAGGGCAGGGGATTTCTCGGGGTTTCGAATGGGCAGGAAGGAACAAGGGTTCAAGCGCGAGTCCTCCGAGCTGTGCACGGCGCCCGGCGAACTATTTCTGTCCGCGATCTCCGGCGGGTGGAGGGCAGGGGATTTCTCGGGGTTTCGAAACCCGCCCGGGCAGCGCCGCAGTTGTGTGTGCGCATCGCCAACCCTGGGAACGCGGCCCGACCACCCCGAGGGCCACCGCGGAGGCCCTGAGGTCGTCTCTTTCCACGTCTCCGCTCGAGTTTCCCTCCAAAACAAAACACAAAACCCCTCCCGCGTGCCCGGTGGAAACATGTCATTTCTACCGCTGTTTTGGAACCGAGAGGGCAGGCTGGTGGGGAGGGCGGCGGAGAAGTAGGGGCAGCACTGTTTCCCCCCGGTTTCGTCGGGACCGGAGCCAGCGCTCCGGCCCGGCCCCGTGGCGCAGGGCGGGCAGCCCGGGGAAGGCG